TTGAAGTTTCAGGCTAGCTGAAATAAATTTTTAACTAAAGAAACCGCAAAAGTGAACTTAAAGACAGCAAATCGAGCAATGTATACAATCAATTTTTGTCCAAACAGGACATAAAGAATATATCGTTCCAATTTCAATTGATTATTTTTAAATAAAAATTTCAGTATTAATTTTTAAATATGGAATAACTTTCTAATTTGAATTTAAATGTTGCGCTTTTGTTAGAACCCCTTGTATAAATAGTCTTTAGCAGTGTTAATATTTTAATTATGAAAACTATTAGGCTTTGCAATAACATGCCAACTCAAAGACTTTGTTTGTGCTGGTCTTAAAAAAGATCGAAGAAAAGGATTCAATCTAAAGGAAGAAGATATATTTGAGATCAGATTTTTTTTTTTTTTTTAAATTTTAAGTACATTGGGTGTTGGTAGATGAAAAAGACTTGTCGAGTATTGTGTTATGCCGATTGATTGATGAAGGTTGCTAGACCGTCTCTGTTATTCAAGTGATACGTTTGAATGTTCGTTAAAAAAATGCGTATGCTTTTTCAGTAGAAAATTATACAATTTTTAAATTGTAATATTATATGTAATGTTTCATAATAAAATGTAATGCATTACTGTTAGAATACCTGGATAGGTACTCAATTTAAATTTTACCAGAACTGCCCGGGTAATAGATTCAATTTTCACTGGTTGTTCAGACCTGACAAAATCTTAGCACCCTGTACATCTCTAATTATAAATAAACATTCCTTAGTGCCGTTTGGTCAGTTTTACTTGTCTGATTTTAATATTGATTCATAAACTGTTCAACCGGGTCTGAGTTTCACTTACGCTATATCCTTTTTGATTGATGGAAATTTCGAAGAATCGTGCACTTTTCACCTACACTATGTAAAGTGCTTTCAGGGGAAACATCGCAGGTCGTTGTGGGCTGTAAAAGTGGAGGAACCATCGACTCCGTAAGTTTCCCAGACCCTCGCCAATTACCTATAGCTCTAGTGCAATGCAAATATAATACTCCCAGACTGTCTTGGCCAGATTCTCAACTGGTCACCTAAAATGTCTAACATTCGAAAGTGCACAAAAAATTACTCGACTTGAAAAAAATGCTGTGTCCATCCAGCCTGACCAAAACATATACTTGATTGTGTCGGACTATCCAGGGCGGACTTAACTTCCGATCCCTTTATTGTCATCGATTTTCTGGCTGTCAACAACTTTTTGGAGTTGATCTGACTAATGTCAGATCTATGAGGATAAGCAACAACAACTACTTTTATTAGAAACTGAAGAAAATTGAGGAGTTTGTCACTGTGTTCCTCGGAATTCAGGACCCCTTAGGAAATTGCTACTAACCAGATCAATTTTCAAAATCATTTAGGGTAAGCTTGAATGGAAAAAGCACAATGTTGCGCCTACTTTGTTACAATAATTATTGAATTTTCTCAGAGGAAACGAGATAATTATTTTAAAGACAATTTGTATGGAATATGTTGGGGTCTCTACATTCTTTTTGTTCCACAGATTTATCTTCTTTTTCCTGGATTTATAGATGTATATAGGCAATGATTATAACTCCTGTCCTGCTAAAAATTGTGTTTGAGCTGAAAATAGTTTTCAATTTGTTTTCATCTGAAACTTTATAAATATGTTTCTTAAATTCTTGCAACATCTCGAATTAATGAATCACGTTGATTTAAATCCGCTGATTTCAAATTAGTCATGTAACGAAGAGTAGTTACATAATTGTAAATATCTCATAATTCTTATAACAACGCATGCATTTCAATATTTTTTGCTGATTCGAAAGATCATTGGTTTTATTGTCTATACATTTTCCCTTTTATTTTTACAAAAAAAAAATTGTTTCCACGTATTAGTTCTGAAAAGTTAGTCCCGCAGTGGACTGATCGATAAGACACGGTTCCCAGCAGATCGCCGAAGTCAAGCATCACTGGCTGCGGTCAGTGTGCGGGTGGGTGACCACTTGGATCAGTCTGCGTAGGGACAGAGGGTGTGCGGTATTGGTCCTCGTTAAACTGTGCTACCGTAAAGTGCTCGACTTCGCGCGCAGGTCGTCAGGCTACCAAAGCGGGGGTGCCATCCCCTCCGCAGAGGATCAAAATTATGATGGCATGTCTTCGGATCATCCTCCGGGATGTTTCCCAGACCGTCGCAAATAGCCCATTGTGCAGCTCTAGTGCGACGTAAATTAACAACAACACCAACAACTGAAAAGTTAAAATGCACCTCTCAGTGAAAAATGTATGAAAAACACTTTTGTTTCAAGATTGAGTAAAAACAAAACGCATTAAGAAATTTTTTGGGTTACACCAAACGACGTTTAAAACTGTTTCGACTAAGAAGTAGGTTCTTTAAAATTAGATATAAAATATTTAGCTCATTAAAAAATGTTCAAAAATTCTCATAGATTTTCAAAATTAAGTCACTAAGAAAAATAATAACGCTTCGTAAGCATTTCCAAAAAATTAAGAACATTGGGAATTATCGGGAAGCGACGGGTTGAATGCGAAAAATTAGCCAATCAGATTCTTGTTTGAAGCTCTTAATTCACATAATACGCGAATTGCTTGCGTGCAGTAAGAATGGCTCTATATATTGAATGTAAATTAAATTTTAATAAGATTGTTTTAAACATTTTCATATCATGTAATTTTTATTTGAAATATTTTCTCTTAATTTTGATTTGGATATTTGTCGCTTTAGGAATATTTAATAATAAATATTTTTGACTGTTAGCAATAAACATCTCAACATTACAATTTAAATCTTTTGGGAAATTTTTCATCGTGACGGCGCTGAGTATCCATTATTAAATGCTTTTTTGTCATTCATTTATTAAATATTAATTCCTTTTTGCTAGATTTTTTCCATCTGAACTAAAATTATGTAAGTATAATTGAAAATGTTTTGTTCTTTTTTTCTTTCAACTGCTGTTGTAAATTCTACACGTTTACACGTGTCTTACTTAGCTTGTCCTATAATTAATACATTATTAAATTTTACTTTATTTTCCGTTGTTATTTTTTAATGTTTTGTGTTTAAATTCTGAGATCAAAAGCTTGTAGCCTAATTTTTTGACTTTTCATTGTAATATGGTTAAGTATAGTACTCTTGTTATTCGGGTTTATCGTGAATTTTTATGTATAGTGTTAAGTAATTGATTTCTCTGAAATTTCTTGTGAAAATTTTATTTCTATTTCAGTTATCACCATGGGAGACACTTGGGATGATCCTAGCCCTGTACCAATGGCACAGGAATTGCCCGAAATTAAACTTTTCGGCAAATGGAGTTCGAGTGACGTGCAAGTTAGCGATATAAGTTTAACGGTAAGTCATAAAGCTAGAAATTAAAAACTTATTGTGTTAAATTTTTCATATTATTCATTGTTGTGCATGTCGTGCTATTTGTATATTTCATTTTTTACTACTTCGCTAAATGTGTTTAAGTTATATGGGAGTAATTGATCTTTATATAGTAGTTATCAACTGCTATGTTCCAGTGTTGAAATGAATAACCATTGCAATATTGTTTTAAACTATAAACTGAGTGCTATGTCTGTTCTACTTATGTATGTTAGTTAAAAATGATAAACATCCCATAAGAGTTCTATAAGGGTATTTTTTTTTTATTAAATCTGTCAAAAATTTCATCTTCATTTACTTCTTTAAATCCAGGTTTAAAAGGAAAATTTCCAAAAAAATCAGGTAATTCTTAAAATTTGGGTAAACTTCTCAATATAGGTTATGTGATGTAAGTAAACACCATTATTTGTTACTTCAAAGTTAACACTTAATAGTTTAATTGCCTAATTCTTGAATTTCCAATTTATAAAGTAAATCAACCGTTTTTCATCTGTTTCAGTTAGATCTTCTTTAAATAAAATATCAACCTAAATTAGAGGTATAGCTTTAGATTTTAATCTGTAAACACAATAATGTCAAAGTATTTCTCAAAACCATGTTGCATAAAATGTTAGTGAACTCTATATTCCATTGTTTACCACTTTGCTTTAAACCGTAAATTACTTTATCCCTCCTTGGCAGAATCACAACAACACGGCGGCATTGTCGCAGAATGTGTGCCACCAATTGATTCTTAACTTCTTTATTCTGTTTATGTCATCCTTTATTTATACTGTTGTCCCATCTTTGGGAGGTTCAACTAAAGTCTAAACATTTTGTTCTTTCTTCATTTGCATTTCGTGTTCCATGGCTTTATTCTTCTTATCCTTTTCTGGTGATTTCTGAGTTTCTTTATGTTCTAGGTGATACTATGTTATAGGGGAGAGTCGGGTAGCCCCGCCCACTGTCAATTTCATATGTATAGAATATTTTTTCATGTCAATTGTCCATCGGACATTAATTGTTGTATTAAAAAAATATTATTTTCAAAGTTTCAAGTATTTATGCAGCTGTTAACATGGTAAACAATAGTTTTGAAAATATGTTGAATACTGTAGTCATGAAATTAAGAAAAATTGGTTGAATGTTTCCATTAAACTTCAGTTTAATACTAAAAAAATAATTTTTTCTATACATACAGCATTAAAGTATGTAGTCTTAGTTTTAAGTTTAATTTGCACAAAGAAAGAAGTTTGTATGTAAAAAATTGTTAGAGTAATTAAAAATTTACAAAAAAATTGGATTTCGGGTAGCCCCGCTCACATGAATGTCGGGTATCACTGCCCAATTTTATTTCGTCGATAAATGTACAGTTGCAAAGATTATTATTTTATTGTTTCAAATTTGAATGTTATATGCATTTTTAACAACAAATATATGTTTTAATATTGTATGAAACATAAATTTATATGTTTAAAAATGAAAAATTAAATATTTTTAAAATGTAATTGATGTAAATGTAGTATGCAGTATTATTAAACTTATGTTCTATTTTGGTTACATGGATAAATGCTAGATAACTAAATACTATTTTTGGGAGATATTGATATTGGTTTTTAAATATCCCAATATACTTCAGACAGTATAGGAAATGTGAATCGAGCTTTTGAGTATTTACTTTTGGACACAATGATTCTCTTAATTACTTAATAGGTATTTCTATTGATTTCCACATAGTTTTTAAAATCCGATATTTTCAATATATTTATTCCAACAACTGAATCTTGAAACTAAATACTCATTTTAATAAAATAAAGCTTACATTGTTTTATTTTTATATTTTTTTACACTAATCTTTTCTTCTAATGAATTTCAAATACTTTTTAAGTGTGAAGAAGAATTCAATTAATTTTAAATGTAAGAATATTTTAAATTGTTATATTTGAATTTGTTAATTTTTAATAGGATTACATTGCTGTAAAAGAAAAATATGCTAGATATTTACCACATTCTGCTGGAAGGTTTGCTACAAAACGTTTTCGAAAAGCTCAGTGTCCTATCGTAGAGAGGTTAACAAATTCAATGATGATGCATGGTCGAAACAATGGAAAGAAACTTATGGCTGTCAGAATCATCAAACATGCATTTGAAATCATTCATCTTATGACTAATGAGGTATTTATTGTACACTATTCTAAAGTGTTCTTGATTTATTTTTTTAGAAGTAGCAGTATAATAGATCTAATCCATCTGATAATGTTTTCATTCATAACCAAATAGTGTGTTTTCCTGAAAATAAAACAAATTTCCCAAATTATACCTAAAATTTTTAAGTTTTAAGTTATAAAGTAAAAGTTTGAAAGTTAAAATGTTTGCCAGTAATTTAAATATTTTATTTGTATATATTTAAAAAAATATGGTGCATGTTAAGGAGACTTAAAAAAGCTACCACAGCAATGAAAAAATACAGGGAATGAAATGAGTCTTAGAAAACTGGGAAAATGAAGGGATTTTTTGAAAAAAAAAAAAAAAAAAAAAAAAACGAACCCCAATGTCTTNAAAAAAAAAAAAAAAAAAAAAAAAACAAACGAACCCCAATGTCTTTAAACACTGACAAAAATAGTGTTGCATTGCAAAAGAAAAGCAGCAGAAAGAAGAAAGCATGTCAGTTGTCCAAATACAAAAGCTCATACATTGTCCATTTCTTTTCAAACATTCTGTTACCATATAATTGCAAATAATATGCCATATGGTGTATAAGTATTTTAACAAATATTCTGTTACCGTAATATTTATTTCAAGTTGTGTTGAATTTTGAATTGTAACTGCCCACTGCCCCTTATTTTTTCCTGTGATTAGAACCAAGAGAGTTGTTATTTTAAGAACAAAATAGGAACTGTAGCTACATGTTACTCTTAATATACAGGGAAAGCAATATACTTTTTTTCCAGATTTGAGTGGCAACCCTGTATAAGTGATATCAATGGTAAAATCAAATTCACTTCATGCCTCCTTAGTGAGCCAGAGTGTTAGTAATGCTATTCAATGATTCTTCTATTCAATATTTTTTTTGAAAAGGCTATTAGGAATTCAAATATACGCACTTATATAAACATTCCTTACATCCCAAATTGAAAATGGGAATTATAATGTGTGATTTTATATCATGTGAATGTAATTTTAAATTGCGTTTGCATTGGTTGAAAAAGGTGTAAAAATATATATTTTTTTCCTCGGGAATTAGGAAAAGACAAACCTTCTTTGTAGAGGCAGTTTTCTTTTTATTCCCTAGTGATGACAAAATTTCCATGAAGTACGTCCATGTGTTTGTGTACATAGAGCTGTGTGTGAGAATACCCTAGATCGAAAATACCCAAAACAGTATCAGTCAATATCCATTAATTAATTTGTTTTAAACATATTGTACTTTTGCAGATTAAGTAATTGATTTCACCAGTTATTTTGTCTGAATAGTTTATTATCCTATTTTTTCATTTTAGAATCCTCTTCAAGTTTTAGTAAATGCCATTATCAACAGTGGTCCCAGAGAAGATTCTACCCGTATTGGTCGTGCAGGAACTGTGAGAAGACAGGCTGTTGATGTGTCCCCCCTTCGACGAGTCAATCAAGCAATCTGGCTTTTGTGTACTGGTGCTCGAGAGGCAGCCTTCAGGAATGTCAAAACAATTGCCGAATGCTTAGCTGATGAATTGATGAATGCCGCTAAGGTAGCTATGATATTTTTAAACCTTTCATGTTCTGATACTGTGTTGATTGTTTCGTGTGAATATCATAATTATTAAATTCTTAGGCCTGCATTTTTTCTGTAATATACAATACATGTGTCACGTTGTTGGCAAACAGTGGCACCTTAAGCTCTAAAATTAACAGACAAGAGGGATGTAGAATTAAATTTGCATATTTCAAAATTGCCAGTTTTTTAAAAAGAATGTCAAAATTGAATGTATGTAGTGCAAATGCTAAAAAGAAGATAAGAACAACCTAATATGGAAGGAAAAGAAAATCCCCTTTCTTGCCTGTGTCCATATCTGTCATTATGTAGCTGAGCCAAAGCTCTTTTAAAATTTAGACTAAATCATCATTAATCTAGATTAATTGTTTTATTTTTCTGGAACAATAAGTAGATGAGTGCCTTTTAGGTAATGAAACAATTTTTAAGTTTGCACATGCTAATATCTTCTCCAAAGCTTGAAGTTTGTTTCTAATTTTTCTTTAGCAATTTATAAGTGTGTTTATAATTTTTGTTTTCATTATATGATTTTTTTTTGCTCATAATATTTTTTAATTAATTTCTTTAATCATATTGTTTTAATGATGTTGTGTGCATATTCTCAAACTTGGAAAAATCAAGGATACAGCAGATATTTTTTGAGGAGTATGTATGTGGCTAGTTAACTAGATATTGGATTGTAGGGTTATTACACAAAGTGTTCTTTTTGCAATTCATTAACTTTTGCATCTTTAAGTAATATTGCATATTAAAATATTTTTAAAATGTTACGTTTCGCTTAAAGTACTCGCAAGGAGTAAAAATAAATCTATATATGCATGTCTTTTCCGTTTAAATTTCATTTTAATAAGATAAAAAATAGGTAAAATGTTATTACTCTGTTGTCCCCAACAAATTTAATTTTCAAACATGTTTACATATTTTATTATTACTTTTTATTATGAAAATGTTTGAGATAGATTCATACTTTAGTATGACTGTCTATTTTAATATGTTAAATCAATATTTTTGGAATATATGTTTTGCGTTATGTACACCATTTTGTATGTGTCCCTAACTTTTGTATAATTACTGTTCCAAAAACGAAAAGGATCAATAAAATAATATCGATGGCGTTTATTGAATAAAATATGACTGCGAGGTTACAAAGCAGGGTTGGCAACTTTTTGACTGTTTTATAAGGTTTCATGTGTAGTTTTTCCATCATGTCAAAAACCCAACATTTTAGCTTAAGCCTAATTTAAAGCTATCATAAATGAATATACATATAAAATTATAAATGATCAATCCTGTTTCTGAATTATTTATGACAATTATTGTTATGACAATTACTGTCAAAAACCCAATTTTTTGTGCAGAAAATATTAAATACTGTACAGAACCCGTTATCCGGAAATCGGAAAACCGGAACAAAATTTCAAATTTCCCGCCATTTAAAAAAAAATTTTTTTTTTTCCTCATAAGATTTTAGGATTTTTCTTTCTTTTTTGAAAGATGTTTACCTTACCATCATTTTGGAAATAATCATTAGTGTATTACTACATCGTTTTTCATCTTTTTAAGATTATTTCCAAATATATATATATTTTTTAGTTTAACAATAAAAAAGACTTTTTGTATCTATTCAGAAAACCGGAAAAATCAGTTATCCAGAATAGCGATGGTCTTGATCGTTCTGGATAATCGGCTCCCTACTGTAATGCCCTACTTAAAATGTGTCAAATTGATTTGTTGGGGAATTGATGTGTCTTATTGTTTCTAAATTCATTTTCATTTACTCCCATTTTAACTCCTTTCCCTAACGTATAAAAAGATTTGGAGCCTTTTGTATTCAAAGTTCATTTTTCAGTTTTGTATGAATAAGACCGAAATTCAAAATTATTCTTTCTATTGATGCACAGCTGCATAGTCTAGAAAGTAGAGGTACTAAAGTTATAACTATAGCATAATAAAATATCATGCAATTTATCTAAGAAATTTATTTTAATAACTACTATATTAATAGTAATTTAAATTAAACCCTTGAACTGATTGATTGAAAAGCTTTTTAACTCCTTTAAACCATTACAATTTTTATAAGTTATAATTATTTCATTAATCAGTAAAATAAACTAATTATACAGTAATAAAATTAACATTATTTCATTAATATTGGAAATATTCATGTACATTTAAGCATGGGTGTTGACAATTTTCAGAGCCTAATATTCCCAATAAATAGTTTTTTTTTTTAAAAAAAAAAAATTTCGTCACAAAATTTTAGCTTTAAAAAAAAGTAAAAAGTGGAAAATAAAGCTTGTATAAATAAAAAAAAAATTCATTTGATTTTACGCAATTCTTGAATAAACGAGCATATGTGTCCTAAAATAATAGAAATCTAAATATATTGAAATAGTAATAATAATAGTTGTCTAAATTATAATTACAGTTGTATATAATGCTAGTATAGTACATGATTTAGTATCAAATAAAATGTCTCCAATGTTAAAAAAAGAAACCAGCCCTAGAAAAATCCAACCCTGTTACAAGTACTTTACTTTAGAATGATATAGTATAATTGTAGTACTAATTTTTTTATTCTTAATATTTCTTAAATTCCAGATATCTTTTTTCTTAAAAAATATTAAATTTTCAGTTAAATGTTATTTAAACTGTTTGCTTATATTAACTAATTCTTGATTTGTCAAAGCTTCGATAAATCAAGATCGATAAAGCAATTGATTACACATTGAGTGTTGTTGGTTTCTCCTTTTGTGGATCTAAATTCAGCAGGTTTTCTTGCTTCAAAAAACTTGTGGAAATTAACTCAATTTTGGTTAGCTGCTGAAGAATTAAATGCTACTTGTGTATAATCGTATTTTTTTGATCTTAAGATCTTTAAATGTATTGTTGTTAATTAATTGTATTTTCTTAATTTTAGGGATCTTCAAACAGTTATGCAATTAAGAAGAAAGACGAATTGGAACGTGTTGCTAAATCTAATCGTTAAATTTCTAGTAAACTATTCTTGTGGTCAAATAAAGTTTTATTTGCCAGAATGTGTTTCTCTAATTTAATTAAATTCTAAAAAAAGTTAACTATCCTACCGAAAATTTTTTATTATTATTCTTTTTACTGTTGAATGATAACTATGATACTGTTGAATGATAACTATGATACTGTTGAATGATAACTATGATACTGTTGAATGATAACTAGTTATGTTGAATGATAACTAAATCAATGGAAGCATTGTATACTAGTCAATAATTAATTAATTTGGCTTAACAAAACTTTTTTATTTGAATTATCTAGTGACGTATTAAAATAAACGAATTTAGGGATCAGCCACTAAATTACTCAGGTCAATATTTTGAGGTTATTGAAACCTTCCCTAGTATCTAGCAAAGTGTCCAATATCTTATTAAATAAAAGCAAAAAGTTGCCCGGTTTTCCATTGCTATTACATTCTAGCTCTTAGAAACTTTGCTTTTTTGTAGACCCCTGATATATTTCAAATTTAATACAATTTCATAAAATTGAAGGTAGACTTACCCTGCCTTATAAATGAAAAATTGCTTTTTGTGGAGCAGCCTTTAGTTGTGCTTACTAACTGTACTAAACTTTTCTGAAGAGCAGCTAGCATGTCTCAAGTCTTTTCTGCATACAACAATTAGAATGTAATATATGGGCATCATAAATTTTGTAGGCTCTTTAACTTATGTACAGTACAGTGCACTAAAAAGGAGGACCACCCTGAATAACTAATCTTGATTAATGATCTGATCTTCACATTCTAGGATTCTTAGCATAATGGTTCAAAGGGGTGACCTTAAATATGTTAATTAGTGTCTAAATCTATGTAGACGATATAAGTTACAAAAATTTTCTCTCTCAAAAGAAACATAATTTTTTTTTGGCCGATTAATAAAGAAAAAAATTTAAAACAATTTTGAAAGGGNCAATATTGAATTTATTTAAATTTCTTTTGCCAAAAGCTCTTTTTTTTAAAGCAATATTTTGGCAATATTAAAAAAAAATTTAGGTCTTTTAAAAACTGAAACACCATTGATTCACTTGCTGTGTGATGAAATGGTGTTCCTAGTTAAAGCATTATTAGGGCGTTTTTTGAAGAGTTCTGCTTTTCATGTTCGTCAGGAAAGGACTTAAAATCATTGGATGTAGAAAACGCAGAAATTTGGTAAAATTAAAATTTAATAGATGTTGGACTAGATACCACAAAGGCGATGACATCCTTATCTTCTTCAGAAAAAAAAATTATGTATTTAGGTGCCAGGTCTTTTTACTTGGCATGCGCAAAAGTATTGCCTCTTAAAAATAGATTACTGTACCATCTTAAAGTGTTGCATCCTGTAATGAGAATGGAAGAAACTTCGATTAAGTCAATAAGATATCTCTCAACAGTAACCCCATCCATTATATAGCTTGGAGAGGCATCTTTTTTGCTAGATGATCACTTTGTTACTAGATATATCAAAAAAATAGGGGTTTAAATAACTTTAAAGTTGACAAGGATATGATTAAAGTGGTTCGTGTAGCATTTAAAAATTATTCTGCTCGATTAGAGGTTGAGAAAAAAGAAAGCGAAAATCACTGAGACTGAGGAAAGCAGATTGAAAGCTGCTGAAATTGATTTGTAGAAAGAATTGAAGGCTTCTCAGGATCTCTTAGCCACAGCTGAACAAAATATTAAAGATGGGTAAAATAATAGACATATTGATTATAGAAAGCAGACAGATCCTCTTATCTGAGGCTAAGTCGAGGATAGCAGAATATTAACAGCATTGGAAGGTACCAAAAAGAAACTTAATTTGTTAATGCAGGGACCTTCAAAAAAGTGTAAAAAATAAGATATGTTATTAATGAACAAAATTGAGAATTCTTGTTATTAAATTTTTATTTTAATTCTATTTATTAACTATGCTCCAAATCTTTGTTTTGCTGCTCCAAAATTGCTTTTTTGTTGCTCCAAAGATGCTCCAAAACCATGTTTTGCCACTTGAAGCCCTGTTTGCTGTAATATATAAATATGAAAATCAATTCTAGTATAAATTTTGGTTTTGATCTTGCATATTATTATAAAAATTATTTCCAAACTGGTGTTTATCAAAATAAGATTGCAATGGAAAAATCAAAAACGTAAAAATAAAATAGTGAAATACTGAACTATAATAGGGTAAAGAAAGAAAATAAAAGGATTGTAGGCTTACGCCGAATTATTAGTCAAAACATTTTTTTCATTAAAAATATCTTTTTTTTACAACAATAAGTATTTTAAGTTAATACATTTTTAATTACTATAAAAATAATACACTTGAAATGCCAAATAATATTTAAAAGCGTAACAATAAGTTTTAAAAGGTTTATCAGAAAATATAAATATTAGGCTTGAATTTGTCTTGTTTGACGAATGATTAACTGGCAAGCATCGATGGTTAGTTATCGCTTTGTTTTCAAGAAATAGTTAATTAAAAAAAATGTTTGCTTCATGTTTTGAACAAAAATTTACTGAGGACTGTTATATATAATTAACATTTTTTAAATAGGTATTTTAATATATATTACAAATTTTACTTCTTTAGTTATATTTGATTCTATAAAGAATACTACTTAGATATTCTTTCACCTTTGCTTTATGGTATGAAGAATTTTATTCTAGTCTAACGCCCTAAAATAGGAATGATTTTTACCTAATACTTTGTAATTTGCTGAAAAAAATAAAAATCTTAACACAGTTGAACCTCTATTTAACGAAGCCCTTGAATCCCTATAATATGTTCGTTATATAAACTATTCGTTAAATAGAAAATCACCTTTTGAAATACTCAAAACGCAAAACAGGTTTTAAATTCATCAGCACTAGACATAATCAAAATAGCAATTGATATACCTTTATCTTGTAAACTAGTATCAGCTATTTATTTTATGAGTCTTAACCGTAAACGAAATCTGCATGGAAAGCTAGGATAAAGCAAAACATCCAGAGTAAAACAATCAAGCTACATACATTTTCAACTAAAAAAAGCTAAATTTATTTATAAAATTATAGCTGTATTTATTATAAAAGTAATTTTAAACATACATAACCACATGCGTTCTTAAGTTTAATTGCTACTGATAATTTAATTGCTACTTGAAATTGAAGGAAAGGGATTTTTACTGCTTTCTCTAGAAGTTAAGTGGCTTCGAAAATCAATTCAAGATCATTTCCCCCATAAAATGCATTAACTATTTTGAAATGTGAAATATTTTGGGAAAGTGAATCTCAAAGAAAAGTTCCTTGAATAGAAATTTCACTTCGCTATCTGAAAGTTATTTTGCGTAAAAATTTATTACGAAAAAATTATATTGCAAAAAAAAATTGAAAAATAGAGAACAACTGTATATTTATTTGTAAAAATGTTTTTAAAAATATTTTCATTTTTTTACTATTTTGTTTACACATTAAAATATTAATTCTTTCTAATGATTTATTTTTTTGTTCTTGTAAAAAAACATTAAATTTTTATTACTTTATGGTGATACACTATATCATTAATATTTTAATTTTTTAATCATTATTTTAATCCTTTTTTTTTAAAACTTTCTTTTCCTTTTCAAAATTTTAAAGACATAATTTGTGTTACTATTGCTAATTAATAATAATAATTATTTGCTTTATTTTTGTAAGAATAATTCTTTTTTTTACAATTTAATTCTGCTAGCCCAGCAAAAACAATATATTTTTTTTAAAAATAAAGTATGCTAATTTGTTTACAAAATGTCTGAGATATTCAATTTGTTCCATTATTAATTGATATATCTTACTTTACCACTTCATTTCAAATGAAATTATATGATTTTTTTATATCTTCCGCGTAAAACAGCTACTAGCTACTCCTCGCTAAATTTAAAATGTATATCCACGATGCTAACACCACATTCTCCGCTCGTAAGCTTTGTAAAGGCGGTATTAAAATAATTCGAAAACGTCATACAATGGACAACTAATCAAATTTTCATTTTGCAACGAAGTTAACTGTTAATCAAGCTTGAAGGCGAAACGTATAGTTCGTCTAAAATAAGAACTCCCCCAGGCATTTGTCTGGACCTCAAGAGGTTTTGAGCTCTCTGATTGAATTTCACGGCACTGCTTTCTGTTACGTCTTTTTGTAGCTCCTCCCCAATATCATTTCTCCATAGTTTATTCACAATTATAAATCAGTTCCAGTATATTTCTCAATAATTTTAAGACATATGTTAAAGTTTTGTACAAAATATAAAATAGTATCATCAATGGTCTTTTAATAATAACACATTTAAATCTAATTAGCTTTAAATTTCATATTTTTCTTTATTCGTTAAAAATATTTTTTTGTACGTTTCAGTATAATATTTTTTAATAATTATGTTATGAATTTCAGGTAAATGCATGGTAAACAACCATGTTTTGGTAAAACATCAAATTAGTACAATAATAATTAAACATAGATTAAAGCTTTATTAGCTAGCTTCGATATAATAAATATAAAACCTGATTAATATTCAAATTAAATAGTATTATGATTCTCCTTAGGCTCTTATAGAAATTAAAATCTCTTACTTTAATTTATTAAGTATGATTGCAGAACCATTCAGTTCAGTTTGAATTTATTATATGAGATTTTAAAATGTCTATAAATATTGCAAAATCATGTTTGATTTTTTGAAAAATATTTTATCATATCTTAGAGGAAAATATTATTTTATAAAGAAATTTGATTTCCTTGTTGATTTTTTGTTCAACTTCACTCTTATAGATATTGTTGCTTGACAATTAGAATTTTTTGAGAAAATTTTTTTTGCATTTTTTCTGCGGCACTTTCATAAACGCACTGTGGTGACAAACAGATAATTTCCTGCAATTAAATTATTAAAAAATATTTGCAATCCAATAGAAATGTACTAGAAATAAAATATATAATTTTTTGTAAATTTATTCTTTCACTACTCATGCTATTAATTCAATAGACAATTCATAATCATTCACTTTGATTTTGATGGGAATTATGCATCAAAA